TAAAAAGCAAATAACTCTTTTGATAAGATAACATTTATTCCTAGACCATAAAAAGAGAGGAGGAGCATGGGGAGAAAAAGTGACTGGTTTTAGTTGAATATGAAATTAATGCTGAAAAGTATATTCCCTCTAAACAGAAAAGGAAGAAATTTAGTACACATAAATAGATTTGAAAATGTAACCTTTATGTTAAAATTGGATTGATCTCTTGACAATTTTATCAATTGGCTTAATTTAAGAGCCCAGAGAAATTCCTAAAGGATGGATATCAAGGAAGAAGCTTCTGTATGTCCAACTCTCTCTCTCTCTCTCTCTCTCTCTCTCCCTCCCTCTCTCTCTCCTTCTCTCTCTCTGTCTTTGGTGCCAGTACTCAGAGCCTGAGTTCAAGATTTTTTTGCTCAAGGTGGACACTATAACACTTCCACTTCTGGCCTTTGGTGGTTAACTAGCGGTAAGAGTCTCACACGTTTTCTTGCTTGGGTTGGCTTTGAACCTCAAACCTCAGATCTCAGCCTTCTGTATAGCTAGGTTGACAGGTGTGAGTCACCTATACCCGCTTTTTCTCCAGCTTTAAACAAAAGTTTCTCTTTTAGTCTAACAAGACACTCACTTCTTGATTTTTCCGCTTTTTGTTCTAAAGTGCCTCTCGGGTGAGTAATCTCCATGACACAGTCTCCCAAAGGTTGTCTCTGGGAGACTGCAATGTGGACAGCAGGAAGAGGGCCAAGGCTATCTTGAGGTGAGACCTCAGAGCTGCAAGTCTGTAAAGATGGCACTTGTCATCAGAGACTTTGTGTCTCTGTAGTTTGGACAAAACTCAGTTGTCTCCAATCAAAGCTAAGTGAAATAAAATAGTTCTCAGAAACCAGGTGCCAATGCCTATAGTCCTAACTGCTCAGGAGGCTGAGATCTGAGGATTCTCGTTTGAAGCCAGCTCTGGAAGGAGCATCCAGGAGACTCTTATTTCCACTTAACCACCACCAAAAAGCTGGGAGTAGAATCGGGACCCAAGGGGTAGAATGCCAGCCTTGAGTGGAAAACTAAAGGACAGCAACCAGGCCGTCTAACCTCCTTGCCCCCAAATAGTTCTCAAAGTCACAAAGATAGGCCAGAGGGTGCCAAGTTAATCAAAAGGACACTGTGCATAGAATGCCAGTCCAGAGCTTTCAGCCACTGTGTGCAAGGCCTTTGCATGTTCATTTCCAGAAGGTGTGTGTGTGTGTGTGTGTGTGTGTGTGTGTGTTCACCCAGAGCTTTGTATTCTTGAAAATTACGTTACCTGAAAATGGGAGCATTTTACTTTTTTACCTTTCTGGTTTGTGTGACTTTCATTTTCTTTTATTTTACTAGAAAGGATTATTAAGAGCACTGTGAGTGAGTGTCCTTGTATTGCTCCCAATCTTTGGGGAGGAAAGTCTTTTGCCATTTAGGACATTATCTGTAGGGTTTTTTTTTTTTATATATATACTCTTTCTTAAGTTGGAGAAATTCTCCTGTATTCCTCTCTTTATGACAGTTTTGATCATGAATGAGTATAGAATTTGATATGTGATTTTTTGTATTGACTGACACAATCAATGTGGCTTTTCTTTTTCCAGTTAGATGCATTACATTGTTTGCTTTATGAATATTAAATCAGTTTTTCATCCATGGAATAAATATACTTGATAATAGTGTACCATTCTTTTTTAATATATTGATAAATTCCATTTGCTAATATTTTACATCTTTATTCATAAGGAGTACTGAATTATGGGCTTCTGTTTTATTTTGTTTCGTATTATCTTTTTGTTGGTTTTAGTATGAAAGTAATTAGAGTTTTATAGAATAAATTGGGAAGTGTACCCTCCTTTTCTATTTTGGAGAGAGAATAGATGAAACTGATGTCAATTCTTATTTAAATAGTTGGTAGAATTCTCCAGTGAAACCATCTGAATATTTCTTTTTAGAGAGTATTAAGAATTTAATTGCGTTAATAGTCTAGTCAAATGACATGTTCCATTTTGGGCATGTTGAGATCGCTGTGTTATATGAGGCATTTGGCCATCTCATCTGAATTGTTAAATTTATGATTATAAGGTTGTTCATAGCATTCTCTTATCATTCTATTTCTTTTACTAAAGATATCTTGTTTTCTTCCTGTTAATAATTTTTGACTGCTGTATTTTTAATTTGGTCATTCTTTCTAGAGGCCTATCCATTGTATTAATCTTTTCAAAAAACTAGTTTTTTCTTCAATTGTTTTATGTATTTTTTTTTGTTTTAAATTTCTTGACTTCTGCTCATCTTCATTATTTCCAACCTTGCTTTGGCTTGTTTTGTTATTTTTTTTAAAAAGGTCCTGGAGATGGGAACTTGTATTATTAACTTGATGCTTATTTATTTTGTAATATATGCATTTAGTTTAATACAGCACTACTTTTACTGTGTCTCCTAAGTTTTGTTATATTGCATTTTTGTTTTCTCTTGAAGTTTCTTTTTTGGCCTATAGATAATTTAGAATTGTGTTGTTTCACTTCCAGATATTTGGAGATTCTCCTGTTATTCTTGCTGTTGATTGTGGTTAGAGAACAAACCCTATGTGATCTAAATTCTCTTAAACCTGTGTGGTTTATTTTGTGTTCACAAGATGTGGTTTATCTTGATATATGTTCTGTGAATACTTGAAAAGAGTGTGTATTCACTTTAGTTGGAGGGAGTGCCCTGTCAATGTCAATTAGATATAGCTGGTTTAGGGTGGTTTTAGTTTTCATGTATCCTTGCTGAATTTTTGACAATTTTCTCTAACAGTTGTTGAGAGAGGGCCTTAAAATGAGCAGCTATCTCCTCCCTCTTTCCCAACCTGTCTGCTTCCCTTTCTCCCTCTTTCCCTCCATCCTTTTTGCTCTCCCTTCTTACCTTCAGTTTTTGCTTCACATCTTTTGCAATGCTGTTGTTTGGTACATATTCATTTAGAGTTGATATGTCTTGGGTTGAGTATGCAGTTCAAGTGGTACAGCACCTACCTAGCAGAAACAAGGCCCTGAGTCCAAACCCCAGTTTTGCCAAAAAGAAAAAAAAATAAAGGGAGAAAGGAAGAAAAGAATTAGTGTGTAGCATATCTTGTCAGTACACAAATTACTGAGATTTACTTTATCTTGTACTAATAGAACTCTTCTTGATTCCCTTTAATTGGGATGATATATATTTTTCATTCTTTTACTTGTGGTTAAAAACTATTTTAGGTGAATTTCTTGTAAACCATTGTAGTTGGGTCTGGTTTTGTTTTTGTTTTTCATATTCTGGTAACCTCTCTTTTAATTAATATATTTAGATTTAATCTAATTTTTAACATATTAGGGATATGCGTGTCACATTATTATTCACTTTTGGTTTATATTATCTGCTTTCTTTTTTCTTGCCTTCATGTTAGATCCCTGCACTTAAAAAAATTCCATTTTGAGCTGAGTGCTGGTGGCTTATGCCTGTGATCCTATTAATGAGGCTGAAATCTGAGGATCACAGTCCAAAGAAACCCTGGCCAGAAAATCCATGATACTCTTATCTCCAGTTAACTACTAAATAACCAGAAGTGGAGCTGTGGCTCAAGTTGTAGAGCACTAGCTTTGAGCACAGAAGCTCATGGAGAGTGCCCAGGCCCGGAGTTCAATCCCCAGGACTGGCAAACAAACAAACAAACAAAAATTCCATTTTGATTCATCAGCAGTTTTTGGTGACTATCTTTGCAGAGCTTTTTAGTTGATGCTTTAGGCATTATATTACAATGTAACATTATACAAACATTAATAAATCCATTAGCCTCATCATTTTACCAGTTTAAATGAGATAAATAAACTTTAAGTCCCTTTACATCTCTTTATCTTCCTTCCTATAGAATGTAGTTATATTAAATAGATCACATTAAACATTTTTATTAAGCAGGTTTTCTTCAAACATGTCTAAAATCATATCAGACAATATGATAGTTTTTATTTCAAACATCAAATCAAACACACACTTAAAAAGAGAAGGAGCTGGGCATCAGTGGCTTACACCTGCAATCCTAGCTACTCCGGGATTGAGATCTGAGGAGCTAGCCTAGGCAGGAAAATCTGTGAGGCTCTTATCTGCAATGAACTACCAAATCTCCAATTAACACCAAATGGCATGGTGGCTTACAGTGGTAAGCCTTGAGCACAAAAGATAAGGGACAGTGCCTAGACTCTGAGTTTAAGCCCCAGGATACACACACACACACACACACACACACACACACACACACGAAAAAAAAGCCCACCATGTTTATGCATGTTTTTGCTTATTATATTTTTTCTTTTCTAATATTTTTTGTTGGTCATAGGGCTTGAACTCTGGGCCTTCAGGTCTTCAGCTCAAGGCTAGGGCACTACCACTTGAACCATAGCACCACTTCTGGCTTTTTCTGTTTATGTGGTGCTGAGGAATTGAACCCAGGGCCTCATGCATGCGAGGCAAGCACTCTACCACTGAGCCACCTTCCCAGACCAAGTTGTTGTTGTTGTTTAAATAAATTCCTTTCTGTTTAGGGAACATCTTTTCTATTGATGTGCTGTCAAAAAAATTCTTAATTTTCTATCATCTAAAAATGACTTTATTTCTCTTTTATGCTCAAGAGATATTTTTTTCTGGAGATAGAATTTTGTGTTGGAGAGGTTTTTTTTTTTTTTTTCCTCTAGTACTCAAAAATTGTCACACCACTTTTATCTATCTTCAATAGTTTCTGGCAAGAAATCTTTTGTCAGTAGATTTAAGCTTCAGTATCCCAAGTTCAAAATTTCCCCGAATCTGAGGCTCAGATCCAGTCAAATAAATTACTGGTTAGCCTATATTTTCTAAATTAGAAAATGTATCACGAAATATAAAGTAACATGTAGTAAAGAGTAAACCAAATAGTCTTCAACTCCTGTTTCAAAGAAAAAAAATATTCCTGAACTAAAGGGAATACACAGGTAACTTTTTGTGTTTGTTACTTTCTTTTGCAGAGAAAGAAACATGTCTTTACCTCTCTTCAGCTCCATGCCTGAAATGGAACCAAATGGAACCTTGAACAACAGCAACATGTACTGCACGATTGAAAACTTCAAGCAAGAATTTTACCCAATCATATATCCAATAATATTTATCTGGGGAGTCTTGGGAAATGGCTTTTCTGTATACATCTTCCTACAGCCTTATAAGAAGTCGACATCTGTGAATGTTTTCATGCTCAACCTCGCCATTTCAGATCTCTTGTTCACAATCACTCTGCCCTTTCGGGCTGACTACTATTTTAGAGGTTCTGACTGGAGATTTGGGGACCTGGCCTGCAGAATTATGTCTTATTCCTTATATGTGAACATGTACACCAGCATTTACTTCCTAACTGTGCTGAGTGTGGTGCGTTTCCTGGCCACTGTCCACCCGCTTCAGCTCTTCCACCTCACCAGCATCCGGAGTGCCTGGATTCTCTGTGCGGTCATCTGGGCCTTCATCATGGCTTCCTCAGCAGTGCTTCTGAAGAGTGGCTCTGAGAAGAAGGACAACATCACATCGTGTTTGGAACTGAATTCTCAAAAGCGTGAGAAGCTGCTGGTCATGAACCACATTGCCTTGGTGGTAGGCTTCCTGATACCATTCTTCACACTCACCACCTGTTACCTGCTGATCATTCGGGTCCTGTTAAAGGTAGAAATTCCAGAACTGGGCCTGCGGGCTTCGCACAGAAAAGCTCTGACCACCATCGTCATTGCCTTGATCATCTTCCTTTTGTGTTTCCTGCCTTATCACACACTGAGGACCCTCCACCTGGTCACGTGGCACAAGGACTCATGTGGAGACTGGCTGCATAAAGCTGTGGTCATCACATTGTCCTTGGCTGCTGCCAACTGCTGCTTCAATCCTTTCCTCTATTACTTTGCTGGGGAGAATTTCAAGGATAGATTAAAGGCTGTACTCAGTAAAGAACATCTACAGAAGGCAAAGATGAAGTTCAGACTTCCTATATGTATGTGGATGAAAACAGAAACAAGATTGTAAAGTGTTATTAGGTGAGGTTGTTCATACTTCTTTTTGTCCACCACTCACAGTCTCCAAATTATTATTATTATTATTTGTTGGTTGTGGGTCTTGAACTCTGGGCCTGGGCGCTGTCCCTCAGCTCTTCAGCTCAAGACGAGGGCTCTACCACTTGAGCCACAGCACCACTTCCAGTTTTCTGAGTGGTTTATTGGAGGTGAGAGTCTCACAGGCTTTCCTTCCCCTGGCTGGCTTTGAACCGTGATCCTCAGATCTCAGCCTTCTGAGTAGCTAGGATTACAAGCGGGAGACCAGCGCCCAGCTTCAAATTGTTTTATACTTGCATAATTCTCACAAGTATCAACATTTAATTAACTTATGTCTTTTGTTAATAAGACAAATCTCAAGACATTTCACTAGGTATACCTTCTGTGTTTGAGTCTAACTGAGGGATAGATGAGGTAAAAATCTCTCTTAGAGTCTTGCATGCTGCAATATCCAATGGGAAAAAAATACCTTGAGTGCAGCTTTCTTTTTATCAGATTCTGTAGGGGACAGAGGTCCATCAGGGCATTCTAAATTCTTAAAATTAAGACAATCGACAACTTCCTCAGTTTCCCAATCTCTCCTTTCCTATTAAATCCCTTGAGATTCAGCCAGTTAACAACCTAGCTGGAGACCTTAGTGCAGATAAGAAGAGCATCTTAAGAACCCAGAGAGTCTTGAAGGTTAAAAAAATGGCTGCCCTAGCTGGGCGCCGGTGGCTCACACTTGTAGTTGTAGCTATTCAGGAGGCTGAGATCTGAGGATCACAGTTCAAAGCCAGCACGGGCAGGAAAGTCTGTGAAACTCTTATTTCCAATAAAAAAAAGCCACCAGAAAACCGGAAGTGGTGCTGTAGCTCAAGTGGTAGAGTGCTAGACTTGAGCTGAAGAGCTGAGGTACAACACCCAGGCCCAGAGTTCAAGCCCCATGACCAACAACAACCAAAAAAAAAAAAAAGTCTTCCCTGCAAACAAAGCAAGCCAAGGACCCAAACAAAGACAGGGAGAGAAGGAAGGAGAAGGAGTCAGGCAAAAGAGAGCTAATGATAAGCAGCAGGAAAGAGGAATTTCACTTTTCTCCCAAGAAATGGGTGCTAGCACATGGAATGTTCCCTTTGCTTCTTCCTTGCTAGGGGATTTGAAGCATGAAAGTGTCCTGGGCCACTGCTTTAGGAGCTGGAGGAATTGTGTAAGGAATAGGGAAGAAGAATAGGACATGGACATGTGGCGATTTTACTGGGAGGCTGGGTTTGAGCTACCTTCACCGCAGTCACCAGCCTCAACCAATAGTGTCCTAGAATGGGTACTGCAATAAAGAGTTTCTCTGAGGCCCTCAGAGAAAAGGTAGGGTGAAGAGCAAGTTACAAAGATGGCTGTGCCCTTAAGATTCTATTAAGATGTCATTGGGATATGAGTAGAGTGGAAAAGAGTACTGGAAAGTGGCAGGGGATCCTTCCTATCCACTGAGACAAGGCCAAGGATACCACCAGGTACCACTATGTTCTCTGTATCACCACCTACAATGCCCTTGCCATGGAAAGAAGACTATGCCAGGCACTTTACATTCACTCATCCCACACAACTATCATACCCAAACTGACTTTTCATTTTACAGAAGCGAAATTGGAAGTTCAGAGAGATTAAGAAATGTGTCCAAGCCAGGACCGATAGCACATGCTTATAATCTTAGTGACTCAGGAGGCTGAGATCTGAGGATCACAGTTAGAAGCTGGCCTGGGCAGACAAATCCATGACTATCTCTAATCAATAAGCTAAGAACCAGAACCAGAGCTAGAGTTATGTTTCAAGTGCTAGTGTACCAGCCTTGAGCAAAACAGCCAAGCAGAGAGGTCCTGTGTCCAAGCCCAGTACACACACACACACACACACACACACACACACACACAGGAATGCATCCAAGTTCCCAGTGCTAGTAGGAGTTTTAAATGCCTCCATTCAAGTGGGCATGGGTGCTTCATGTCCGTAATCTTACCTATCAGGAAGCTGAAATTTGAGGATTGCTGTTTGAAGCCAGTCTAGCCAGTCCATGAAAACTCTTACCTACACTTAACTAACAAAAAGGTAGAAATGGAGCTGTGGCTTGAGCAGTAGCATGATATCCTTGAGCAAGAAAGCTCAGGGACAGCGTGTCTAGGCCCCAAGTTCAAGCACCAGAAAACCAAAACCAAAACAAAAGTTCCATGCAGAAGTGTTGCCTCTCAGTGGGATCTCTCCACTGCTATCCCTGTGAACCTCTGGGGACACTGGTGGACAGTCTGAATCAGAGCCTTCCTATCCCCATTGTAAGCAGAATTCTAGGTCAAGGGCCCAACCCTGGGGGTTCTAATGTGTCTGGTCCAGCCACTCACCCCAATGTACCAATTATAGAAAGGAGAAGTAGTAAAGGTTAGAGAAGAACTTTTTAATGGGAAGAGGGCAGAAGGCATTCCAATACATTTTTAGGGTACTGATATGTGATTTAAGTTTAAATAGGGGAAGAATTGGGGTAGTGGGGGCGAGTTATGCCATGAGTAAGCAAAGGGCAACTTGGCTGGCTGCTGTCTTAGTTCTGGTTCTGTGAGGGGTTCCAAAAAACCCCGTTTTTTCACTGTCATTGCTTGAAGAGTGCAGGGAACCTCCTTCATCATAGATGATTTCCCTCATTTGGGTGTGTGTGTGTTTGGGGGGGCTGTCCTGTGGGGCTCTGCTGTTCTTTGAAGGTAGGGTGCAGTCTTTTGTTATCATAAAGATAATAGTGACCAGTCCCATCACACCCTGCAGGAGAGAGACCCAGAGCAGAGGAGATTGATGCAAAATGGAGACTGTTAACTCGTATTCAGAGTGAGATGTCAGTGCCTTTTAGCTAAGGAAGTTTCTAAGTGTCTGTTTTACCACCAGGTACCCTTCCTCATCTCCACATGAAGACCCTTGAAACCAGGTCAATAGGCTGGGAGGGAGTTGGTGTTCTAAAGCTAGGGATGGACTCATTCAGCCTTCTTATTAAACAAAGACTCCCTCTGTCCCCCAAACAGCGTCTTTCCTATCAGAATGATGACAGGCAGATGGATATCCAGACAGGACTCTGGAACCTTCTGTCTGTGGGGAAATAGCCCTGTCCTAGAAAAATGGCTAAGAGACACTGATAGCTGAGAATCTTCCCAAAGAAAAGCTAGACATTTGTCTAACAATTTTCTTGGTTATAAACAATGACCACTGCACATTTGAAGAAAAGTCTCTACCATGAAAAAACCTTCAACAAATGACCGGGTAGATAGAGATATGTTCAGTACAAAAGAGGTCCACATTTTAATCTTTTCATTGCCCTTCCACTTTTATCAGAAAACTACTGGAAGATGTTCATCTTCAACACAAGAGATTAAATCAAGAGAGAGAAAAACATGGCAGCTCTGAACCAAGGAATCTGACTCAGGGTGAAGAAAGAAGAAAATTATCAGGATATTGGTGTACAGATGAGTTAGAAAGCAACTCATACAGATTGGAGAGATCTCAAAGGACTCTTAGAGGGACATTGCCAAGAAAAACAGGAAACCAAGTGATTCACACGTCTTGAGAGGAGTTTTTATTTCTTTTGGTGAGCTTGGGATTAATTGGGGATACATATATAGGAAAATAAGCAAATAAGAAGAGAATACAGTTATAAAGTACTACAGAAAAAGATATATTGTATAAAAGAAGGAATATACCTGTGGAATATACATGGCTCAGCTGTGAATAATATTTACTTAGAGAATAACATGAATATAGAAATACTATGATATAATTTCCACCCCTTCACCCTGGGAAATGAGGGGAGAAGAATATGCATGCATAGAGGAAAAGTATGAAAAGCCTGAGTTCCTATCTTCCATCCAAGAGAATGCATGTTAACTACATTTATGAGTAGCTGTACAAGCAGGTTGCTTAGCAACAGGAGAGAAATACCAGAAGAAGCAGCAAGAAAAGAATGGACAGCATTGGTTCTGGCTGGAAGTTGGGGGAGGGAGGATAGAGCGAGAACTTCTTTTCATCTTAAGGACTATGTAAGTGTCTAATTCGTGAATGTGCATTGCAGAAATAAAATTAAGTTAAAATTTAATTCCAAAACACAACTTAATTCCAAGTTATTAAAGAAAGCAACACTGATGAGAGAGAGAGAGAAAGAGAGAGATGCTTTTAATGACTTACTTTCCAAAATGTTTCCTTTCTTTCCAACTAGGAAAAGGCTCTGGTTTGGTAAAGAAATGTCATCCCTGAGTAAGAAAACAAACAAATCTTTATTTATCAAAGTGAAGGCCAAAAGTGCCTTATGAGTTTAGATCTCTCTCTCTCTTCTCTCTCTCTCTCTCTTCTCTGTCTCTGTCTGTCTCCTCAAGCAAATAGATAAATTGTTTAACTGGGAGAAAGAATCTTTGTTGTACAAACTTTGGATCTGTGCTCTTTCAATATGTTGTAGTTATGTTAAATGATCAATTCTCTGCTTTAGATTTAATGATTGCAGTATAGTGTCAAGCAGAGAAGTTGTTAAACTGGACACAAATAGGTTGGAAGAGAAGATGTGGCAAAAGCAATGGATTTCTATGGAGAGTTCTTCTTGGAAAAGGGTTTGACAAAAGAGACCTCGTCAGAAGAGAAGTGGGGAAAGAGGGGGAGCAGAGGGAATCTGGGGGGACATGGGAGGACTGGAGCTAAGGAGTTAAGTGCTCCTTACCAAAGTCACTCTATTCTTAAGTACATGGAGGCAGCTCCTGAGGATAATAACAGCCACATTTTAATTCTCTAATAATTAAGTACAGGCCAGAGGCCACAAATCCTAGTTACGCAGAAGGCTGAGATCTGAGGATTGTGGTTTGAAGCCAGCATGGACAGGAAAGTCTGAGAGACATTTAATCACCAATTAATCACCAGAAAACCAAAAGTGGTACTGACAGTGGTAGAGGACTAGACTTGAGCAAAAAAGCTCAGGGACAGTGCCCAGGAAGTTCAAACACCACGACCGGAAAAAAATTTACAGCATTACCACAAAAATAGACAGAGGATGGGGGGAGAGAGGGAGAGAAGGAGAGAGAATCAGAGAATCTTGTGGCTTATTTTACTTGAGGTTTTGGAAAAGGTTCAGAAAGGTTAGCTATATAATAAATAAGCTGAGGAAACAGACTTCTAAACCCAGGGACTACCAACCCTCCACCCTCTGCATCCCAAATGCAAGGAGACATAGCAGGGCAAACTGTACATAGAACCTGCCATGTGTGTCAGTGGACCAGTTTGGAGTGGCTGACTACTGGAGAGGTCTTCCTCAATCATTGTATCACCTTCAAGCTGAGGAAAAACCATCCGTTGTATGACTCTCAAATTGAGGAACCTTTGTAAAGACCAAGACTAAATTTCCAACTAGTCTGGTGGGATGAATGTCTAAAGTCTACATAAATCGGTTGTTACAGTTAAGTATGATGGCTATGGAGCCATTTTGATTTGAAGATCCCATTGATTTTTCTCCTTCCTTCCTTCCTTCCTTCCTTCCTTCCTTCCTTCCTTCCTTCCTTCCTTCCTTCCTTCCTTCCTTCCTTCCTTCTTTTCTTTCTTTCTTTCTTCTTTCTGTCATGGGGCCTGAACTCAGAGCCTGGGAACTATCCCTCAGCTCGTCAGCTCAAGGCTAGGGCTCTACCACTTGAACCATAGCACCACTTCCGGCATTTTCTGTGTATGTGGTGCTGAAGAATCGAACTCAGGGCCTCATGCATGCAAAGCAAGCTCTCTACAACTGAGACACATTCCCAGCCCCTGATTTTTTTTTTTTGTTGGTCATGGGGCTTGAACTCTGGGCCTGGGTACTGTCCCTCAGCTCTTCACCTTGAGTCACAGTGCCACTTCCGATTTCTGGTGGTTTATTGGAGATAAGAGTCACACAGATTTTCCTACCTGGGCTGGCTTTGAACAGCGATCCTCAGATCTCAGCCTCCTGAGTAGCTAGGATTACAGGCGTGAGCCACTGGCGCCCGGCAGATCCCATTGATTCTTAATTTACAAGATATTTCATGCAAATAAAAATGTGTAAATTAAGTTAGGTACAGTTTCATGTGCCTGTAATTCCAGCTACATGCCTAGGCGGGGACCAGGTGAATAATAAATAGTTCAAGGCAAGCTGGGAAGGTGGCTCAGTGGTAGAGCGCTTGCCTTGCATGCTTGAGGCCCTGGGTTTGATTCCTCAGCACCACATAAGAAAAAAGAAAAAAGCCGGAAGTGGCATTGTGGCTCAAGTGGTAAAGCGCTAGCCTTGAGCTGAAGAGCTGAGGGACAGCGCCCAGGCCCAGAGTTCAGGTCTCATGACCGGACCCCCCCCCCAAAAAAAAAATAGTTCAAGGCCAGGCCAGATAAAAAGCTAGCAAGATCCCATCTTAATCAATAAGCAAGTATGGTTGTACATATTTGTGGTCCAATCTGTCTAGGGGGCCATAGGTTGAAGGTTTATGATCTGAGGCTGGCCCTGGAAAAGAACATGAGACCCTACCTGAAAGATATCTAAAGCAAAAAAGGGGCTAGAGGTTGGGCTCAAGGGGAGAGGACACTTGATTAGCAAGCAACTTGACTAGCAAGCATGAGGCCTTGCATTCAAAAAGAAAACAGTATAGATTAAAAGAGTAACATTGTTGGCTCTGACCTTACTCCCTAAAATGAGAAATAAAATATTAATACTGTCACAACCATAGAGATCAAGATTAGTCTGAATTTCATCTAACCAACTTGTTGCTTCTAAGGCTGCCCTCAAACTAGTTTGTTGTCAAATCTAAAGATCCTTTCCCAAGCCTCTGTTAATAAGACCTCTGACACATTTGAAGAGTTGATCACAATTTACTCTTATAACACTTTATTCATGGGGGCTTTGGGATGCAATAATCATTTGGTTTTCCTTGTATACCTCTGTATGTAAGCCTTGGGGCAGGCTCTGATACAGTTACTTCTGGATGGGTATTTTTTGTTTTGTTGGACAGTCCATAACCAGTGAGGACCACAGGCTGTATCAGAGTCCATTTCTTTGAGATCCCCATTTTCTGGAGTTCAGTTCTATCTGGTTTTACTCATCCAGTAACCAGCGATCCTAGCAGTAGGAATATTAAAAAATAATTTTTAACTTATCTTTAAGGAGTTCTACACAGAGGTTTCCATTCAACATGTCCGTTTCTGAGTATAATTCATCTTGACTGATGTTACCCCTTCCATCATTCTACACCCATCTCTCCCAACTCCACCCATGGCCACGGGTTTGTCCTCTACAAACTTGGATATCTTAGTGTCCGCTGATTTATAATTCTGACAATGTATTGGCCTGGTCAGGTCCCAATAGTCTCTCTATTCAAAGGTAGCCTTTTGTTGGATATACGATAAGAAACTAAAAGTAATTTCATCCAACTTAGGTTTCTAAGTGATGGCTTTGTCATTTTATTTGAGACAAACCTCCAAAATAAGAGCTACATTCAATTCCACAAGTGAGTTTTACTGAGTAACCCACCAATTGTGTCAGGCGCCATCCTGAATATGTTAAGGCATAAAGATGGACTAGTGAAGGATTAAACATACATACATAAGACATGAAAGTGTAACTCACAAGATCAGAGGTTTACAAGTGAGGCACACACACACACACACACACACACACACACCAGTGGCGAACAGACAGAGAAGAATCCTAGTTGTAGAAAATGAGTTGTATTCCTATACCACATAATGGTGCTTCTGTGAACAGCAGAGCACCCATCTAAGAAGTTGTCCCCTCAGATCATGTCACCTAGTATCACTATAGCCATTTGGGTTTGTTTTAGTACTCTCCCCTTACACAACTACAAAATTGTCTAAACACCTATATCTCTGAGATCTGTCTCAAGGCAAAATGCAAATCTGAAAAAATAAAAAGGAAGGGTGTTCTGAAGGGGTCTTAAAAGCATATATAGCCGCTCTCACTTCTGACATCTTCCATCTGTGTGGAATGGGAAGGACTTCGTTCCTCGTCTGTGATTTGAGAATCAGGATACTGACTCCATTTTGTAAAGTAGTCCTGAACACAGGGTGATCTGTGACCTAAAGACACTGAGACAACCCCACATAAATTCAAGCTATATATGCTATTTGACATTTTGTGTAGATAGGGGTTTTAATGAATCAAATTACTTTTTTGTGTGTGCTGGTACTGAAACTTGAACTCAGAATCTGGGTGCTGTCTCTTGGCTATTTGGCTCAAGACAAGCACTCTAGTACTTGAGCCACACCTCCACTTTCAGCTACTTAGCGCTTTATTAGAGAAAAGAGTCTCACAGACTTTCCTGCCTAGGCTGGCTTTGGACTGTGATGATCAGATCTCAGCAAGTGTGAGCCACCAGCTCTCAGCCAAATTACATTTTAAATGCCCATAACATATATTGTGATTATTTGCTTAAAGCAAATAATCCTTTTACACTTAAATTCTTTCCCTAATTTATTCTTTGATTTTGTTTAGTTGTTTAAGTACTGGTATTGGGGCTTGAACTACCACCTGAGCACTGTCCTTTAGCCCAAAGCTAGTATTCTACCACCTGAGCTATGGCTCAACTTCAAGCTTGTGTGTGTGTGTCCAATGGATGATGAGGGTCTTACAGACTTTCCTTCCCAGGTTGTCATTGAACTATGATCCTCAGATCTCAGCCTGCTGAGTAGCCAGGATTACAGGCATGAACCACCAGCTCCTAGCTGTTCTTCGTATTTGATTCTTCTTATTTTGAGCATTCTGGAAATAGTGCATGCTCATGTTCCTACATCAGGCATCACAGTAATCCTACCGAGCATAAGCAGTGATGGACAGAGGGAGCTGGGAAGTCTGTGTTTGCCTGGAGCTTGGCCCGGTGGCCACTTGGGTTTCTGGAACAAATGACTCCAATCATCTCTGTATAAGAGGTTATTGTCTCTGCATTGGAGGCCAAATTCATTATGACTCAAAGCTCTGTGGGTCTCCTTAACCTGCTGTCAAACCCAGATGTCTATAAACAGCTTCTTACATCAATGTATCTATGTCACTTCCAGAAACAGAAGTCATAATCTAAAAAGGAAACAAATGACTGGCAAATTGAAGTTGTGTGCTAGATACTATAAGGAACCCAAACTTGATTGAGCTCAGTCCTGACCACTGGTTTTTCAGGGGATGGTTGAAACTTACCAAAGGTTTTGGAGTTTTGTATTGGTTCAGTTTCATTTTGTCACAAAGCATTCAAAATGAGAAAACACCAGAATGGTGAGGCTAAGCAATGGGTCAAATAAAATATGCAAGGCA